AGCCTACAGGTCTTAGCTGGGGTTACGCCTATAGACTTAGTAGCTGAAGCTGAAACACTGATTTATAAAGCTGTTCATATGAAGAAGAATATAGATTATTGTGACCTGAAGATTTCTAATAGAGAAATTGATCCAAAATTAGAAAAGTTTTATTTTCATCCGGCACAATTTAAAGAGGTTACCTGGAAGACACTTCTTCCAACTGGTGTTGGTTTGGAATTATTCTCTGATGGCTCCATGATTGATAAAAATGTTGGAGCAGCATTTGTTGCTTTTGCAAATAATAAATTTGTATATAAATCTAAATTAAGATTGAATAATAATTCAACTATTTTTGATGCAGAACTTATTGCCTTTGAATATCCCATAAGATGGGCTAATGAGGAAAAAAATGAGAAATATATTACAAATTGGGAGATTTCGCTGTTCACAGATTCCCAGAGCATCCTTAGAGCTCTTAATTCTAGAAAATGTTTATCTGCAAAAGTAGATAAAGTCAGAAATTATATTCACAATATTAATTCAAAAATGAAATTACATATAAATTGGATAAAAGGACATTCGAATATTTATGGAAATGAAGCAGCAGATTCTGCTGCTAAGGAAGCATGCTATAATACAGATATTGATATCACGGTTCCTTTATCTCTTAATTATATTAAGAGTGTACTACATGACAAGATTCTCCACACATGGCAACAAAGATGGCATTATGACAAAACTGGACGAAAGGTTTATAAAATATTTCCTGTTGTCAAAGAGCAAAGATTGAGTTACAATAGATTGATAAATCAATTGATAACAGGACATGGCCAATTTCTAGAATATCTAAAAAGGTTTCATGGGAAAGATATTCATTGCCGATGTGGTCAGGATGCATCTGGAGCATCTAATGGACATTACATTTGGGACTGTGCCTTAACGAAGGAAATTAGAGGAGAATATTATCGAAATATATCTATAAATAATGAAAAATATCTATATAGCAATAATAAAGCTAAATTAGGACTTATAAAAATATTACCAATTTGAATAATTATGTATATTTCGATCCTTTTGTTTAATTGCTTAAATTTTTGAGTTGAATTGCATAAATTATAATGTAATTTGTATACATACAATGTATAATTTACTGAAAACTGTAAATGCTTATTGTTCGTTAAGCTAGGCAATATTTGTATTTTATAATTGTTGTTTAGGTTAGCAGTTATCTTGAGTTTAATTTAGTCATTTTATGTTAAGAAATAGGTGGTTTCTATTCTGAATGAAGGTCGAGATGACCCGTAGGCGGCGCCGACACATCTCCAGCGGAGGATGAGTTTTTGGATAAGTAGTCCTTATTCTGTTGTAGTGTTTATCCAGTTATCTTTCAGTTTGTTTCTTTTAAATTGCCGGTTGTGCCAATTTTGGCGGTACGGCCTTTTTTCTTAGATTAGATTAGATACCTTACCCCACTTTACCATCATGCATTAATACTTCCTGAGTGCCATATAATCCGGACAGTGAAGGACATGGTGAGTAGAAAATCACTGCAACTCTAGAGGACTTGATAGAATTTTAAATTTACATAGTTAATTAACAAATGTTATTAATATAATAATTTCTTCTTAAAATTTTTATTGATAATTTTTCACGAAAAATACAGTCTAAAAATATTTAGAAAAAGGAAGATAAATAAATACATGAGGTTACCTCTATCAAAATGTCTTAGCTAATTATCAAAATATTTTCTTTCATGTTTCTTTAATCTGTTATTGTTTTAGTAAAAATTATATCTTGACTTGTCCTCCAGGCTTATAGTGTAAGGTTTATCTTCCTGCTTACAGAGTGTCTTCGCGGTATAATTAGAAAGCACAAACAGGAAGGATCGGAGTTCGAACCTCGGGGAGGGTACTACCACGTCTACTACTTTCCCACGTCTTCTATTTCGGGGGAGGGGAAACCTAATGTCTCCACAAAAGGATATAAATCTATTAGACATCTTTCTTTGATGACTCATTAAATTATTGATGTATTAGACATCTGTGAATTCCATGGCAGATCTCGTCACGAGAATCGTTCGTGAGCGGACAAGATAAACACTATACCAAGCATTTACAGAAAGGGCGCCAATCCTTCATTCGCCAGTGTAAACTGTGCAACGGAAACCCCTTCAACGCCTCTCTGAGCATTTACGTTCTCTGATTTGAATGGGACTGTGCAATTTATGATTTCGTTAATTTTTTTTTACACTACGAAAAGTTCAACTTAGACATTTAATTTTATGCTTTTCTGTACTCTAAGTGGAATGCGGCTTTTAGCTTAATTGTAAATATTGTTCGTCATTATGAGTACTAAATCATCCTTTTCATTTTTTTCAAGCAGTTTAAAACATCCTGAATGTGGCCCTATGGAGAATTCCTTGCAGGAAGAAAATCATTTCACAAAGCGCTAATCATAGCTTTTTCACTTAGGAGTTTCCCAATAGCGGGCCCTCAGCCAGCCTCGGCCAGAAGTGGTGGTCACTTTATTATGGAGGCACATAGGGCCACCTTTGCCTCCTATGGAGGGACGGACAGTTACAGCCGTGCCTTCTCCGAGATTCGAAATTAGGCCTTTTGGTATCACTATCGGCTCCCCTAGTCACTATACCGCCTGGGCTGCACTTAGAAGATATACAGGGAGATATTTAAAGTGAATTTTAAGCTCAGTCGTGCCTCCACATTCATGGGTAATACGTTCTAAGACTTATCATTGTTACGAGAAGCCACTGTTAATACCGAACACTATTCATAACAAGATATTCACGGAGCATAATAAATTCTAAGTTTTTAAATGATAAACTGCGTACGCTGGCCTATGCATTAACAGTAAACTTTGTCTTTCACTTACAAAGGTGAAAGAGAAACTTTATATTTCTAAGGGATACAGCCGAAAACATCGCGGCAAAAACATCCCAGACGAAAACGTCGCAAAAAAACCTATACAAGGCGAAAACTTCGTAGTACAAAACATCGTGGAAGATAAGAAAGCAAAGAGAAAACATCACAGTTCTAAAACATCGTGGTACAAAATATCGTGATCGAAAATAAAGCTGTTCAAAAAACTTTGCAGTTTAAAAACATCGTGTTAAAAAATAAAGTACCTACAAATCATCGCATGACGATAACATCGCACATATGCGTTTTTCGGATTTAAAAAAATGTAAGGGAATTTTAGAATATTGATCTAGGAGCGCAAGAAGGAAAAAAGGAATTTTGACTTCTATATTTGATACTTTTGAATGAACTAATAAATTTTTACTGAAAAACTAAGAAGGAAACTTAAGCACTTAAAAATTGAAAGTGAGTAGAAAATCAGTGCAACTCTAGAGGACTTGATAGAATTTTAAATTTACATAGTTAATTAACAAAGGTTATTAATGTAATAATTTCTTCTTAAAATTTTTATTGATAATTTTTCACGAAAAATACAGTCTAAAAATATTTAGAAAAAGGAAGATAAATAAATACATGAGGTTACCTCTATCAAAATGTCTTAGCTAATTATCAAAATATTTTCTTTCATGTTTCTTTAATCTGTTATTTTTTTAGTAAAAATTATATCTTGGTTTGTTTCCGTCTATTCTTAAAGTGCCGTTAAAATTAACCCCCCTCTTTCCCACGTTCCTTCTTGCGCTCTAAAATCACTATGCGAAAATGAATTTATAACTTTTAAAACCTGAAAGTCGCATACGTGAGATATGATCGTCATGCGGTGATTTGTAGGTGTTTTATTTTTTTTTACCACGATATTTTTAAATTGCGAAGTTTTTGAACAGCTCTATTTTCGACCACGATATTTTGTACCACGATGTTTTAGAACTGTGATGTTTTCTCTTTGCTTTCTTTTCTCTTACGATGGTTTGTACTATGATATTTTCGCCTTGTATTGTTTTCTTCACGACGTTTTCGTCTGCGATGTTTTTGCCGCGATGTTTTCGGCTGTATCCCTTAGAAATATTAAGTTTCTCTTTCACGCATAAATAAAGGATTCTGCTTGAACTGAATCTACAGTATGCACGGTGACCAAAACATGTGCTCGGATATTATTCCCCGTAATGAATTACGTTGTTACATATAAGTGTTTGAAATATTTATCTTAATTTTACGATCTTTAAAGTTAACGAACGAACGTTTATTTTTCATACTCAAGCTCAGCAGTTTTTGTTTAAATGTTCAACAAGCCACTTGAGCGGTCAGCCAGCCTAAAATAGTTAGATAGGTAAAGACTTCAGGGTCGTATACCTATTAAATAAGCGAAGACCTATGACCTAAAATAGTTATTGTAAACAAGAAATTGCATATAATAAATTTAATGAGTCCAGATATTGTAATTTCGCTGATCCAACTTGTAATTAATTACAGCAAAAAATGAAAAACTGCTTCTACTGTTTTTAAATAGCTTTGTTTCTTAACCAATAACAAAAAAAAAATAAATATGAAAGAAAAATTTAAATATTTCGCTTCGCTCACGAACACGCTTGTGCGAAGGAAGATAAAATACTGTATTTTGGGCAGTATCGATACAACACATTTTCTTGAAGTCACCATATTTTCTGATTAGATTTGAAACATAAACACAGTACTTTTAAATCGTCGGGTTTCTTAATCTTCAAATGAAAATTTCCTTAAATTCGCAAAAAATGTGAAATAAATAAAAAGGAAAATTCGAAATTCAAAATTTTGCGTTCCATTAATGTGCACATGCGTATTCAAAATCTGGTGGCGCTAGGTGCCGTCATTTTACCTCAATGCAAGGAATATCCATACATGCACTCATACGTACAAATCTTTCATTATTTAATAACAGATTTAAATAGTTGTAATTTTTGGAACTTACGATAGTCTTTTGCTCCGTTAGAGGTTACGACTCTCCGTTTTTATAGCGTGTAAATGCATGTATATCGGTACAAGAACTGACAGTTTGAGGATGAAATAATGCAGACTCATAGAAAAGTAAGTATATACAATAAAAATTACCGAAATTATGGATTCCAGAGACAATGCTCTAAGCTGTGACAACTGAGGGCTGTTATCTTTTCCTGTGCCTTCTTCTCGAAGCTGAGATGTCAAGGAAGCTATGAATAAACATGCTAACGTAAAAGTAAAAATCCACCAGGCTATACTCAAAATTCTCGATGAAATAGACCTGTGAAGGATGTGTTTTATATACAAGTTAGTTTTTAATTCCGATAATGTAAACGGTTATTAAAAGGAAAATTCAAAATTATTACGCAACATAAAGTACCATATGTATTGTAGATGATACATATTATAGTAATACAAATATTCAATAAAATTACTACTGAATGTGCATCGACAGCTGAGCCTCGAGTAATCATCAGCCTTTCAGTTAGCACTATAGTTACAAGGTCATATCCATGTAATGATTCTACATAGTATTGGTAATGTTATCAGAATATGCTTCAAATAAAATATATCAGTTAATAAAATACTGTGAAATTAAACTGTAAGTCATAGGCCAAAGCTGTAAGAACAGGGAAAGAACAATATGATGTAACGCAAGCGAGCTTCCGCGATGGAAAATAATCAGACCAGTGGTCTTTTAAATATTTATTTTAAAACTTAAACAAGGATTTCTGGGTTAAATAAAAGTAAAACGTCAGCACAGCTACAAAAAAGAATGGCACAACTTCCGCGTGATGCGGATCAGACAGTCGCACGACCTATACCTACGACATTTCTCAACCAAAGCTCTTTCCTTTCCTTTTTGTTTGAGTCGCAAGCGGGGTGTATCCTTAACGAGTTTGTTCCTTGATTACTTTCCGGCTGTTTTGGCGGAACCCGTGGTTCTTACTCAAGTGAACAGGAAGTTCTGTAATATTAACCATATGTTACAGCCCCTTCTTTTTCCGGGAGGAGAAGGTTTGCAGAAGTCTGATATCCTGCTTGATTATCTCTGCTAGAGACACATAAAATCAACAATAAACAATGAATATAAAACACAACTATTTACGCTACGCTGGGTTAAGTACCAAGGATAAAAAAAAATAAATATGAACTTATATTCAGGCCAGTATAAAAAAACGAATAACCGAATACTAACTTAATTACACAAAGTAGAATTTGGCAGTTTTCTGTAAACATGTAATATACAACTATACATATTTTAAAATATATTATTAATTATATATTTATCCAGGCTGAAAAGGAAAGCCTTGCGGAAATTTAATTATCAGTTTTTGGTAATCTATCTGCGGAGACCCGAAACTTGATCCTGAGCTACTGCATTTAATGACCTCAAAATAATCATACATATTTGATTTGGCATTAGCATAAGAGGAAACCACTTCATTATAAGTTTGATTTACATTATTGATATAATTACTATCATTCCTTTTAGGCATCTCAGTATAAGGCTCTAACATAAAGAAGTGGCAAATAGTGGATCTTTCCGTTTTTCCTGGTAAATTTACAATACATTTTGTTTTGGACAAACCAATAAAATTGCTTGCTAAGGAAAACCTTTGAGAGTCTAAACATGCAAAATAAACGGGTGATTTCAAATCGTTATTTCCTCTTTGTAAGTGAGGAATTCGAATCATATCTAATGGATGAAGAGACACTTCATTCGCCTCTGTGTTGCCCATCGGTTTTTCTTCAAGACAGCTAGCTTCGCCTTTCGGGAGCAGAATTCTCGGCGAAGGTGTGATATCATCCTTAAACGGATAGCGAAATTTTCCAGTTGGCTTATGTACCTGCTATCTTCATTCGGTTCTTGGTATTTTTGCTCGTTTTCAGTTTCGCTGTTTTCAGTTTCGCTGTTCAGTTTCGTTGTTCCAACAGTTTCGCGATTTCTTGGGTATCGACTCTTGTACGGTTCTTGACAAAAGACTCCTTCATTTTGATTTTCTGCTTATTTTTCAGCAGTCCGGTTTCCGAGTAAATAATGTCTGACTTCTATCGATAGCGGCTTCTAACTTCAATTTGGTTATTATGAAATTTCTTTCTTCTGTCCTAATTCTATCTTGCATCTCTTTTTCTGCTTTTCTATCTTGAATTATATCCTGTTCCTTTTCTTCCCTCTCAAACCTCATTGAAGTGATATTTTCAAACAGGCGTTTCACAAGTTCCTCCTCGTAGGATTCATTTCTCATAATCAGCTGTCTTAGATCCAATATCCTAGGCTCAGGTCGGACCTTTTTTCCTAACTCTTCAGCCAAGATTTTAAGGTCTTTTCTTTTGCTGAGAATGTCGTGATATAAGTCAAAATTATGATAAAAAGCTAATGACTTCTAGCTCCCTTTCACTATATATATATAAGAAAACTGTTTTAAACAAATAGCAGTTTCAAATATCAGGAGTAAAAATTAACTCCTAATTTTTTTCATAGCTAATACTACGGATCTAAAATAGAAATGCAAGTCAGTTTACACTATAATATGCACATTATGCGTTCAAATATAATTTGTATACTTGAGGACTTATGATTCTACAATTAATATTAACCTTATAAATGCTTTACATTCAATTGCGTTAAAACTCAAATGCTTATGATAATACAATATGCTTTCATCAAAATTTCCGAGGTATATTAAAGTCTGCATTCAAAGGTAAAAATTTAAAAAAACATACACTGCTTGACATTGAAAATGCAACACCAAGAAGGAGTGGTCAGAAAGTGATGAAATTTGGAAAAAAGAGACAGCAAGCAGCAATAAGTGATCTTTATTTCAAAATGATAGTCAGAATACAGAGCGAGTACGGCGTCAGCTCAGTAAGATGTAGGATCACAGCAGACAGCGATGCACGAAGAAACACGTCTAGGCATAGAGTCAATAAGAGTGTGGATGGTGTCCTGAGGGATGGCTCTCCATTCTCTTTTAACCATTTACCACAGTTCATCTTCTGAACGAGGCAGAGCAGAGTCTGTAAACGGTGTCTAATCACACCCCACACAAGTTTGATTGGTGACAGGTCAGGAGAGTACGGTGGCCAGGGAAGCATCTGTATACCTTGCAGAGCATGTTGGCAGATGAGAGCACTGTGTGGTCGGGTGTTATCCTGCTGAAAAATTGCAATAAGCCCCTGAAGGTAGGGGATTGCCACCGGCCACAGTAAATTATCCAAGTATCGTTGGGCCGTCATAGTGCCCCAAACATGATGTTTCACCATTCTGTCATCCACATCGCTCCAGTCCGGCACCATTCTAAACGTTGGCTTCAATGTGGCGTCAATGGCAGTCTTCTTAATGGACGCCGTGAGTGCAGACCACGTTCAACCAATCGACGAAAAATGATTCTGGTCGACACGGGAACATCTAAGGTATCTTGCACATGCTGAAGAATCGTGGTACAAGTGACTAGCAGGACCACCACAGCTTGTCGGTGGATGCGTTGATCCATGCATGCTGACATCACTCTGGCTGCACCTGCACCCCTCCTTCTTCCCCTCCATGCAATTTCCTTGTTCCAACCATGTTTGCCATAGCCGATGCACCGTGCTCGCATCCATGTGGGTATCAGCTGCGATTTGAACATAAGGACCAACCCGCCCTTCTCAATCCGATCACCATACCCCTCGTAAAATCGTCTATCTGTTGGAAGTGCCTTCGTTGACGGCACTTCCAACAGATACACCACCTCATCGAATCAGTTTGGAAGCAAGAGGTTTTATCCGAAGTTTAGAAACTGAGCATCATCTGTCCTATACACAAAACAGGAGACATTTTGGAATGTACCAACTACATGGGAATCTCTGTGTTTTCTACAAACTATTTTCCAATATACTTTTTAGTAGACTAGTAACTTATACAGAAAATATTTTAGGTGATTACCAATGTGGGAAGACCTAGAGCAGAACAAATCTTTAACATTAGGCAAATTTTGGAAAAAACTAATGAATATGGCATTGCAACACACCACCTTTTTATTGAGTTTAAGACTGCCTATGATTCAGTAAACAAAAAATATTTAATTGAAACTATGTGAGAATTTTCAATACCTGAAAAACTTATAAATTTGGTCACCATTACTCTTACTGAGACAAAACTGAGGGTTAAAATCCAGAATAATCTTTCTAAGCCTATTGTTGTTTCAAATGGGCTCAGACAGGGCAATGCACTGGCCTGCTTGCTTTTTAACCTTGCCCTCCAAAAAATCATAAAAGACTCCAACATTAATACTCGTGGAACTATCTTTAACAAGTCTGTTCAGATTTTTGAATTTGCTGACGATATTGATAGTCGCACGCACTCCTGAGTCACTTAGAGAGGCTTTTACATCTCTAGAGGCTGCAGCCAGCAAAATAAATCTAGCAATCAACCAAACTAAAACTAAATACATCGCATGTGGTAATAACAGCAGCCCCTATTTTGAAATTGGGAATTACAAATTTAAAACTGTTAGCAAATTTAAATATTGAGGATCAGAAGTTAATACTCTCAATGATTTAATGTCCGAGATCCGTAGTAGAATCAAAGATGCTAACCGATGTTTTTTCGGTCTAAAAGAAATACTTGAAGTCTAACTTCACTAGCAGAAAAACGAAGATTTTAATTTAGAAAAGCTTAATCAGACCCATTCTTACATACTCTACTGAGACCTGGGCAACGAGAGAAAAAGCTAAAAGTATCATTTCTGTCTTTGAAAGAAAAATTTTGAGATGTATTTATGGTGGCATAAAATGTAACAATAACTGGAGAAGAACTAACTCTGATCCCTATAAATCCTTTAAAGAAATAAATATAGTAAAATAAATAGGGATTCAGAGAATTAAATGGGCAGGACATCTGTGCAGAATGGATGAAAATAGAGTAACTAAAAAGATCTCGGGCAGACTATTCGGCACCCGAAAAAGAGGGAGGCCTAAACTTAGGTGGCTCGACTGTTTGGAAACAGACTTAAGAATTTTAAAAATAACCAAGTGGATGTCCATGGCCAGGAATAGAAGAGCTTGGAATTCGATTCTGAGGAAGGCAATGGCTCATCCTGGGCTTTCCTGGACGTTGATGAAGAAGAAGTTAGTAAATAAGGCCAGAATTACATTAGTTGTGTTATTTATTGTACTTATGTTCATTTTGGTTGTACTCACATTCTATGCTTACGACTGCGTCCTTAATTTTAAAAAAAAATTTCACATATACTTAAAGCTTATCTGAACAACACATTAGTTGTTATTATTTCTAACAGTACAAAATTTTATTTTTTGGCCTATAAATATTACT